CAAACATATGGCCCTCATATTGTGGCCGTGTCTAGAGTTAATGCTATACAGTGTTGGCTTTCTATTGTTTTATTATTAAGGCGTCCATTATTCAATTTTTTTTTTTTACATATATATGACTTTATTATTCTTGTATTTTCTACTAATATGTTTTGGATGGTGTCTAGTAGCTTTTTGTCTGTGTTTAAATGAGCTCTAATGGAGCTGTGGTCGGATAGGTGTAACGTAATTCACCTGGATAGACATATAGTAGTGTGACCAATAAAATTATGAATTGGATTTGATCAGGAACGCAGTTCCTTAAAGATCATTTGAACTCGTAAATAAGATTGAGTCTTTGTAGTTTGTTTTTTCAGCTGCTGTTATTTTTTATGATAAGGTTAGCTGTTTTAAATTTTTTGTAATAGATAATTAATTTTCTTGCGATAGTGTATTTATGAAACTTCTAAGTGAAAATTAATCTTGCTTTTAGTTGGCATGTATTTGACATTTGTAGATGCTAATGTTATTGTTTTTGTCTGTACGTTCAGTATCGTTATTAGTTATTTGTAAAGAAATAGTTTAATCTGGTAGTCGATGAAGTAGTTAGAAATACCATTGTTAACTAGTGTCAGTTTTGTATTATTGAGTTATTTAAGGAAGAGTAAACGAGAAGATGAATTCTTGTGTTCTCCCTTTGGGAAATTTTTTATAACTGCTATTTTATATCTCAGTGGGCATTCACTCTTAAGATAAAGGTGACAATAGTATCTATTAGTGCATTTTTTTTTTATAATGAGGTGGTGAAAGTGTAATTACTGTATTCTACGTCTAATAATAGCAGTTTATTTTTTGACTGAGCTCATAGGTAAATTAAGGACGGAATATTTTTCCAATGTGGTTTTGAGGTCATCTATTTCTTGTTTGTTTTTCCCTACAATAAAAATAACGTCCACACAGTGGACATACATTTTGGGTTTAGTGACGAGTTTAAATATGTTTTCTACGTGGGACATTTAGTAATTAGAAAAGCATGGGCTGAGCGGATTTCCCATATCAACACCATTGGTTTGGGTGTATATTCTGCTATTATTGTCGTAGAAAACGACTTTGGTCGTCCATGTATTTTTTGAGGATATTTGATTTAATGGATAGAGTTAGAATAGAATTATTTGTGTACACGGAGTTAAGGTTTATGGCAGTAGTTTGATGAATGGGGACGTTTGTGAATGAATTTTCAATGTCGAGGGACGCTAAAATACGTTGAGTTGGTTTTATACTTTTTAGAATTTGAAGGGATTATGGGTTGATGTGATGCTGCAATTGCTGGGTATGTATGGGGTAATGACGTCATTAAGGAATTTTGATATCTCGTAGATAGGGGTTGATATTTGGGAAAAAAATGGACGTAGTGGGTATCCGTTTTTATTTATTTTTATATTTCCATATCGGTGTCGCTAATCTCCGATGATATCTTTTGATTTTCAGTGAACCAAAGTCGGCGTTATAAGATGCTATTAGTTTGTTAACGGATCTTTTTCTTCGTAGGATTCCTATTTAATTTGGTAAAGTCAGATGTGTTGTAATTTTTTTTGGTAATCGGCTTCGTCCAAAATTAAGTATGTGTTTAGCATTGTCAGCTCGTCTGATGAAAATATTGGAATTGTCTTTTAGTTTTTTTGCGGCGTTTCTTAATATTTTGTATTCGGATATTATTATAGTTGTTGCGAGGGGGCGGTCTTTTAAGCCGTCTCTCTTAAGGAGGTCTCTCACGTCTGAATGAACTGCTATGACTTCAGGAGCCTCAAGTTGGGATCGTGAATTTCAATTTCGGTCTTCTTTGTGAGGAGACCAAATTTAGGTTGGAGATGACAATTTGGAGCTAGATTTAGGAATTGTTTTTCATAGTGTCTCTACAGCAATCTCCCCAGATATACACTTTTATACCCAAAGAATAGGGAAAACGTACATGATAAGTCAGGTTGCGAGTACAACACGCAGATCCCGTTCATGTAAAGAGCGGACACATAACGGAATACATTTCATAGTACCTGTTTTCTAGATAATCAAGCAACGATTAATAGTATATCAAATGTACACAGTAAGAAACGTAACATTACATGTGTGTGTGTGTGTGTGTGTGTGTGTGCGCGCGCGCACGCGCGCTCTTAAGACGATTACTGAGCAAAACATTCGATTATTCTTTATTTCGATCAGATATAAAGAGCTGATGCCGCACACACGTACACAGTCGTTGGTTTTATTGCATGATTTTACACACTCAAAAGAAACCGATTCACATTCCACAGCATGTGATTGTAATTGATTCTTCTAACTTACATTCTTTTTCGCTCTCTTTTTTTCCTTTCTTAGGCTAGTATATATATATATATATATATATATATATATATATATATATATATATATATATAATAATTTACTTATAAAACGTAGATTGTGTGTGTGTGTCTGTTCGTTTATATATGGGACCGTATTTCCTACATTTTTCAACCGATTTCGACAAAACTTCACAGGACTACGTAAAATTACACGGCGGTGGTTCAGACAACGCCAAAAATTGGAAAAACACAATTGTTTTTGCACGAAATCAATTTGAAAACACGATTAAGAGGCATCGCGAGAATGAAAGTGGGACAACTCATATCGAGTTATACTTATTATAAAACCCAGGTTGTTTGTGTGTGTGTTCGTTTATATATGGGATCGGATTTCCTTCATTTTTTTAAACCGATTTCAACAAAACTTCACTTTTTTTTGGAAGGTAGTGTTTTTATTGTCTTGAACACTTTTTTTCTTTATTTTACATTCAGAATGCTTTAAAAATTCCATTTACAAGACAATTGTTTATAATAAAATTCTATTCAATCGGTAGACTCATAACGATTGAAAACAATGTTTTTGTTTGAGTTTGGGTTTGACCAATTCGTAAAAAAAACTAATTAAGACATGCATGTCCGTCAACCTTAAACAATAATCTTTGTCAATTTTATTTTTCATTCTTTATGATGGTCGATACTTGATCTATCTCTTACTGTTACATCCCCGGGCAACGCCGGGCTCTACTGCTAGTATATATATATATATATTCAGTAGTATGAACATGAGTTTGTGAACCTGAATTTCACGCTTTTGCGATCATAAAATAAACTGGTTTATTTTTTAAAATTTTATGTATTTATGGTTGTTTGATTATGTTTGGTATGTGAGGGGAAATTTACTTCTGTGTTTGCTTGGGATGACACTCTCATACACATAGATACAAATACATACATGTGTACGCATTTTAGTTCACACAAACACATCCATGTAAACAATCCGAGGCTAGGCGTAGATACACATCCTAAAAATTAACTGTCTTTATAGAACTGGTTCCTGGAAATATCGGATACCACCACTAATATATATATATATATATATATATATATATATATATATATATATATATATATATATATATATATATGAATAAAAAGAAAGAAAAGTAAGCTATGTAATCCGGTGTCCTTATTGATATTTTTATATTTTACAAAATAGTGCTCAATATAAATTTACAGAGCATTAATATTATAAATTAACTGATTAAATGGTTTTTTTCGCTACACAGTAATAACCATGTTTCAAAAATGGAAGCTAAACACTTTAAATTTAGTTTTGCAATTAAATTAAAAACATTAGTTCCATTTCATCCTCAATCGAATTTTGTAGTAACTTATTTTTTAAATTTACTGATTTTTAACTGCAAGGGGAATTCATAATTTACATTTACCATGGATGCAGAGAAATCCATTCATCCAGACAAGGTGGGGTAACGTGTTCATTTTTATTAACTTTTGTTGTATCAGTTATTTGTTACGTTCGAAAAAGGGGTGGGGATGTATTTTTCAACGAGTTCTGACATCCGTGAAATTCATGTCGTCTGGTTTGTTTTTTTTGTTTTTTTTATTGTTAACGGCAAAAATTCTTACGGTATTTTTTCTATTTGTATACCTTTTTGCGGGGGATGTTTAGGTTAGAATACATTTTATTTAACTACTATTTTAAAATATTTTTCCTTTTAATTTTTAATAGACTATATTTCTTTTTAAAACAAGTAAATGTAATAGAATTACTTCCAGTATATAAAATTATTTTTCCATATCAAATATAAGTATGTATATTACCAGGTCACATTTTTTTTAAATTTTATTTTTCAAAATATTATTTAAGGAAAATTTTTATTTTTTATATTTTATATATAAACCTAGTAATATATAGTTTCTCATGTATGCACAAAGGACATGGGTCATTTATTGGCTAACATATTTTAGCTTTTCTTATTAGTTTCTATTTTACTTTAGGTGTTTTGTTGGATTCATTTTAGTGTCAGAAGTACTTTGAGAGATATGTTTAGGTTAGAATTCGTTTTATTTTTTATTTAACTACAATTTTAAAGGATGTTTAGGTTAGAATATGTTTTATTTTACTACAATTTTAAAATATTTTTACTGTTAATTTTAATAGAGTATATTTCTTTTTGAAACAAGTATATGTAATAGAATTATTTACATAACATAAAAATAATTTTTATTATCAAATATATGTATGTATATTACCAGGTCGGATTTTTTAATTTTATTTTTAAATATTATTTAAGGCAAATTTTTGACAATGACGGCAAAAATAGCTATTCATTTCTCTGATTCTGTAAATTTTTAATTTTTATAAACTTAATAATATATAGTTTCTCATGTATGTACAAAAGACATGGGTCATTTAATGACCTACATATTCTAGCTTTTCTTATTAACTTCCTTTTTACTGAAGGTCTTTTATTGGATTCTTTTATGTGCCAGAAGTACTTTGAGAGAGATGTTTGATTTCTATATTTATTTATCCTAAAGGAACTTTGATGTTGGTTGAAACGCTTTTTGAATTCATGGCTTGTGCAATTCTTATAGAGGGTAACAATGTTGGCATCTCGCATGTTCCGGGGGACGTGGCCCTTCTCCCAGCACAGACACAGGAGCTCGTGGAGATGCAGCAACAGAGCTGGCTTGCCACTCTTCAGAACCTCCGATGGGATCCCGTCCCTCCCAGGGCCCCTTCCGCAGGAGAGACAGTCGATGGCTTTTCCGAGTTTTTCTGCAGAGGGCGGGGCATCCAACTCCCCTATGACTGGGAGACAGTAGTACCCCACCCAACGCTCCAGCTGCTTGCCCTGGTCTGTAATGACCTCTCCTGTCCTGGACTTCAGCGGGGACGTCTTGATGGGAGTGGGGCCGATTACGGTTTTCATGGCGGTGTACATGCCTCTTGCGTTTACACTGTCGGCAGCCGTCTGGATCCTGCTGCACAGGTTCAGCCAGTAGTCGTTGGCGCAGCTACGTGCAGTCTGTTGGGCCTTGCTGCGAGCAGCTCTGAGGGCATCGCGGGTACTGTCGCTAGGGTTTTGCTTGTAGGCCAGAAGCTTGTCTCTTGGCTTCAGAGGCTGGCTGCATCTCATCCCAATGAGCTTCGTACCAGTCCGTATTTCGACGATCCTTCTTCCCGAACGCAGTAAGGGCTGAAGTGTATATGGCATCACAGAGGTGGTGCCATCTACTGTCAATGTTTGTAGCACTGAAGGAGGATGTGTTGACCTTCGCGCTAAAGGTAGTTTAGAAGCGACGAGAGCTCACAGGGTCATTAGAGCGACAGGTGTTAATGCGAGGGAGGCCCTTGGTTTTGGGGCGGTGTATTTTCTTGGCTGTCAGTCTCATTTTGCTGCCTACTAGGGAGTGGTCCGTGTCGCAGTCTGCGCTGTGGAAGCTCCGAGTGTGAAGAACGCTCCTTAGGTCTGGACGCCTGGTGATGACAAGGTCGAACTGGTGCCAGTGTCGAGAACGGGGTGTCTCCATGAGATTTTGTGGCGTTCTTTGCACTTGAAGTAGGTGTTCGTCACGCACAGTCCGTAGTGGCAGCACAGTTCCAGCAGCCGCTGTCCATTCTCATTCATCTCCCCTATGCTCTGACGACCGAGGCATGAGGGCCAAGTGTTACAGTCGGCTCCCACTCTAGCATTGAAGTCTCCTAGTAGTCTCTTCAGTATTGGGGTTCCTGGATCCAATGCCTCATAGAACTGCTCCCTGACCTCTGGGGTAGCGCAGAGCGTTTGCGCGTAGAAGCAGAGGACGTTGGCGAAACCTGTATATGTTGAGAGGCGCATTGCTAATATTCTCTCAGATCCGCCAGTTGGTGGTTCAGTGGCTGGTATCAGCGAGTTCCTCACAGCGAAGCCTGTGCCGTTTTGCCTTGGGTCATCCTGAGGCAGGCACTGCCAGAAAAAGGTGTAGTTGACCTCTCTGATGGAACCGCTGTCAGCCAGACGAGTTTCTTGCAGGCAGGCAGGCGATGTCAATGTCTTGAGTGTTCCTTGTCTATGACCGCGGTCTTTCGAGCATCGGCGATCTGTTGGATGTCATCTGCGAGTCCAGTTCTTTTCTGCTTGGTGCGGGATTTACAGCTTGCTTTTAAGGAGGATCAGTCGCTGAGCCCTACACACCCAGTAGAGCAGGCAAGCTGTGGCGGGACAACACCTTACATACACACACACACACACACACACACACACACACACACACACACACACACACACACACACACATATATATATATATATATATACAACGGTTCTATAAATACAGTCAGTTTTTAGGAACGTATTCTGCTTATTTTCTTTTTCAATCTGAGAATTGAAACAAATCCCTTTATAGTATCAGAACGTATTAAACAATTTTCATAATTTAATAGAAAACATTCATTTTTTAAGGTATTTCCCGGTTGTAATTCTGTTCTCATCATATTTCTGTCTCTATTGTCATCAGCTCTGTTATGCTTTCTTAGCCACATTCTAACTGAATCGCTGTAGTCCCAATGATGCAATGGAAACCTTCTCAAATTTATGACTAGAAGTTTTGCCACATTTTTCTTCACTAGGCTCGCGCACAAGAGTAGCATAGCTAGCATTTTACATAGGCAATCGGCCATTAATATAGATTATTATTTTCGGATAACCCAACAGTTGGTTCGTTAAGATTTTATAATTTTAAGAATCGATTCGCGCGAACAACTCTCTCTCTCTCTTTATATATATATATATATATATATATATATATATATATATATATAAAACGTATATTTAGGTAGCAAGTATTCTTCTCCAAAAATTTGATTGAAAAGAACGAACAATATCTGCTTGTTTAAATTTTTATTGCATTTTCCCAATTTTTGGATAAATTGTTGAATATTGTACACCAACTTGTGGATAAACTCTCCGAAGTTCATATTTGTTATTGTTTGTTCAAGCACTTTCGTCTACCGCAGTCATTATCAAGAACCATTGTGGTGTTGGTTTGTGAATTTTTCTGCGTCTAGGTAATTTTCAGAAAGCGGGAATTTTAAAATTGTCTCGTATGACGTCAATGTAAGGACTATTGGGAACTAGGCCACACCAAAAGAACGTGATTTATTTTATTTTATTTTAATATTAATATAATATATGCAAACATTGGTTATATCATATTCACTTCTCGATTCCGTTTTCTGTATTTTGGGTTTATCATAATAATATTTATTTTAGTTATATTTTGGCCGTTAATGATGTCCACTTAGTTTTGATAGGTGACAGGTCAATCTGCGAGAGAGTGTGGCCAATGTAAGCAATGTATGGCATCACTAACACTAATAATAAAAAAAAACACTTACACTGACACACATGCACCCCATACTATCTTAATGTTTGTGATCGAAGGCTTTCAGTCATGATTCTAGTCATTTTCATGTTTCAGTGTTATGTAGATTCGTTATTCAAAAATTATAAAACATCAACGAGGCCGTTATATTTTCTACTGGTATCACGAATATGTGTGATTTGCCAACGAAAATTACTGAAAAGCAAATAACATCAGATCAAAGTAAAATTAACCACTTCAATGTATTTCAGTGTATGGAACTAGAATAATCTACTCCGGTGAACGAAATGCAGAGTTCCGTTCGAAATTCCAATCACCTGATGAAGGTACAACGGCCGAAACGTCAGGAGTATTAAAATAAAGATGAGGAGAATAATGCGAACATTGTAAATAATGTTAATAGTTACAATACCTCAACTCAGAAATATACACAGATATACAACCGAAAGATTTATAAAAATAATTCCAAACTAAAAAATTTTCAACTTTAGTTTGAAATGAATTCAACAACAGATTTAGCCAATGAGGAATCTCGCTTGATAGAGACAAATCCATAAGTTCATTATAACGACCTTGCCAATTTGTAAATATGGGAAATGTGACATGTCTACATGACGCCGAATCTTGAAAATGATCAATATCGTGGTTGAAATCCCTCGGCTATTACTATTAGGAAAATATCTATACTCATTGCACCAGAACATACGTCTTTATGCAGAAGCATGCAAGAAAAGTTATCTTAAACATTTATATAAGGGATTTAATGAACAATGTATCACTGAAAAACTGTCTACAAAATACACAAATATACACACGAAACGTATACTCAAATATGTGTATCCGCTAAAACAAAGTTTTATATATATATATATATATATATATATATATATATATATATATATATATATATATAAATATAAAAGTGAACATAGATGCAACTTCGTCAGGCCACCGATTGCATATAGCATGAAATCGTCTGTCGCCTCCGATGTTGCATTATGTTCACTTTTTATATTTACACACGCTCTATCTCTGATATGGAGCACTTTATTCCATAAATATAGCACACCTTAAGACTATATTTCTTTTTATATATATATATATATATATATATATATATATATATGTGTGTGTGTGTGTGTGTGTGTGTGTGTGTGTGTGTGTGTGTGTGTGTATATAAATATAAATATATATATATATATATATATATAATATATATATATATATTATTATTTATATATTATATGCGCGGTACTTATTAGAAAGCGCTCAATATCAGAGATAGAGCTAACATATTTGGTTGGATTGATGTGAGTTTGTGACCGTGTTTTGAAATTTCTTGTTAACAGTTAATATATTTCAACCTAGAAAAGGGCTGAAAGTATAGCCGAAAGCGCTCGGAAAAAGAAAACATTCGGACAGTTTTTATATAGTTTATCATCTGAAAAGAAAAAAAATTAAATTAAATTAAAAAGAATATTAGATCACTTGAAAAACTAAATCGAAGCACCTTTTCTGTCGTATTCAATGAAATGTGCATGAAAGGATTGCTGACTAAATCAGGAATTATATATATATATATATATATATCTATATATATATCTATATATCTATATATATATATATATATATATATATATATATGTATATGTATTGGCATTGGCCACCTTTTTTTTTTTACCACTGTATGCGTGTTATTGATTATTCTATATTACACACACACACACACATGCACACACACACATATATATATATTAAGTTGCTTTTATTTGCTAATATATTATGTATATGTTATGGATCGGCTTAACAATGCAATAGTCAATTTCTTTCTGCATAATAATATACATTATATTAATATATTTGTGACATTATAAATATACGTATATACATATCTCACTATATTTATCTGTATGTCAATATGATTGTATTTATTAAGCCATTACATTAGCGTATGTGCGCGGAAGATTATTTGCCTCTGTATGTTTTTCATGCATGTGTCAGTGTGATCGTTTATGGGTATGTGTGTGTGTTTCTCTCGATAATGACATAAAATTGATAAAATGGTTTAAAATGTAATTTCGATGAATATATTTCTTCATTTTTATGAGCCCTTTTTTAATTTCCTGATAATATTTTCTCTTCTATTTATGTAAATATCAATAATAAAATAGCTTTTAATATTTGTGCAAAATATCAATAGGCAAATATTACAATTGTACTCCAAAATGTAGGAATGAAATAGAATGAAATGAAGTCAATTGGAAAAAAAGATTTGAAACGATCTGGTGATTATTTTAAATGTTTTATTACAAGTGCTAGTTCGCAACAGGGGACAACTGGAGGAAAGGAAGATTGTGTTGCACCACTTTTCTGAATGGTGAATGCATGCTTGAATTGTGGATTATTCTTCGAATTACGTACTTTTATGTGAGTTAGAATCATCCTTTCTTTTATGCGTTGTACATCTGCAAAAAGAGGGTGATGAAATTCCTCTGCTAATTCCTATCCTTTTTAGAATATGTTCCTTATAATCCTCACCAATACCTTAGGTAGTTTACTCGATGCTTTCCTTGGCTCCTCTTTACTTCAATATGTCTTGTACGTATCAAATTCTCCAAGCCTTCTTTTCTTATTATATACCCCAAAAGTTTCTCTTTTTAATTCTATTGATAGATACCATTTTTTTCCATTTTCTTTAAGATTACCTCTTGCTCCAACCAAGATATTCTCAGCATTCTTTTGTGGAACCACATTCCTGTTGTCTCAACTCTCCACTTCATATCAGACGAAATTGTCCGGTATTTACTGCCACATAGGCCGATTTATGTAGTTTAGCAGTTCAACTCACTTTCTTTGTTTCCGAGGAAATTGTCCCGTTTCCTTAATCTTTTGCTTAGCTGTTGGAAGGCATTTTCGCTATTTTAATACGTCTTTAGATTTATGTGCTACATTTACCGTCAGTCGTTTGTAAAAGAATCTTTTCCATATATTTAAATTTATAAACTTTCTCAATTTTGCTGTTTCCAATTCGTAGCTCACATCCTGGCCTGTTCCCGTTGGTGACAACCCTAACCATTCTGTCTCCTTAAAAACGTATGGGATACTAATGGATGGTTTCTCCCCTACCATGCCTTTAGAAGAATCATAAATGACAAATTATGGTCGTT